ACTCTTTGACAACACCTGCATCTGCAAAGGGCTTTTTGTGTTGACCTAAAATCCAAGCAACTCTGAGGGAACATTCATGAGCACGTTGTTGGGCGGTGAAAGAACTGGTTAAGATCCTTGTGGACTGATCATATTGGGCTCTGAGACTGCTAATTTTCTGGGACCTGAGTTCAGACTTGGGTGGGTATGATTGTTCAAAAGCTTTGTGCTTTGTCTCATAGTGGCGTTTGACATTGCCACTTTTAATCAGTGCCACGGTTTCTGAACATATGAGACACACTGGTTTGCTGCTTGCGGCCGGAAGAATGAACATATATGCGTCAGTCCATTCAGTCTTGAAAGTTCTATTTTCGGTGTCTACTTTTCTCTTTTTTGAAAGCGCCATAGTTGTTTTACCTCTTGTGACTCCCGCTCACGTCTTGTCTCACTGTATCGTTAATCGTCTCGCTTGTCATTCACCTCTCACCGTGTCTTTCCTCTGTCTGTCTGTGTCTGCACTCAGCGTTGCGATCGCCTTGAATGCGCAGATGTGATTGGCTAAGTAGTGTCACGTGGGTGGCGTAACTCGCACACAATTGGTTTGTATGTTCCCTGGTCTAATACAATGTAACGTTACCGCTTAAAATTGAATCGCCCCGTCAAAATTAAATATAATTTAATATTTTGTTAACTATAGGTCCGGGTCCATATAGGATGGCGACTGGGTCCGGACTCGGACCCCGGTCCGCCTGTTAGTGACCCCTGCTATAGATTTATCCTCTAGGATTAAGGAGTGTAAAAATTCAAAAGGTCCAACTTATAAAACTTAAAAACCATCAGCAGCATCTCTGCCTACACTTTTTGCTTTGTCTCATAAATCTCTTCTTAAAACACATATTTGGCCTTTTGGAACAGTAACTTTAATAAACATGCTATATATGAAAAAGCTGAGATTGTTATTGAAACTGTCAAAGTACGGCAACACTGAAGGGAAATCGTGTTTTAAACAGCAGATAACTTGATAACTTAAACATTAAGGAACACTACCTATACGTAGATGTGCCCAGCCTAATTTTTGAGGATTTTGTTTTACCTAATTTAAATGTTTCTTCAAAAACAAAAAAACCCCCAAAACTGTAACTGTAACAATATTAGCCGACTTATAAGAGATTAACACAGTAAATAATGAAATAAGTTGGATTTTTAAACAATATCAACTATCTTTGGGTATTTCAAATTTTGTTTTATTAACAATGCATCCCTTTGATAGGATTGTATGTTTCTTTAGGTCACCAATGCCCCCAAAACATACTGTACACATTATACAAGGGAAACCACGATTCAGGCAAAAAAAAAAAAAAAAAAGAGGAAAAAAAAAAAGGAAAAACGTTTAAATTATAATACAGTCTTGAGGAAAAAATATAAATAACTTTTTTCTTCTCTGGTTGAGCTCACTCTATGGTACAGACATATAATAAATAGATCGGATCTGACATCACTCAGCTGATCTATGAATCATCTCTCTATGAGTCCATTTGTGTAGCAGCAGTAGAGCAAAAAAAAAAAAAATTTAAAAATTAAATAAAAAAATAATAATAATAAGCCAATGGAAACCGAGCTCCCCTGTTTCCCTGGAAAACCTTTTATAAATCCTTTAGTCATCGCTCGCATTCCCCCCTGTGAAACTGCATGGTGGAGGCAAATCCAGGGGTCATTATAGTCCTACAACGTAATGGCAGCAAGTAATGGCAACCTATTTTTAAAAAGGTTTTACAAGCAAGAAACACGTTCAGGTGACATTACAACTTCGCCATGCTTGTTGGACATGCAGTGGAGGTGAAGCACAAAGGTAAGAAGGTATAGAGATGGGCAGCCGCTGGGTTTACGCAGAGTTTGGAAACACGTGTGAGCAGAGATTGGGACTGAATCTACAATGAATCTTCAGAGCGTCTTTCCAAGGATCGACCCACTTCCAGAGAAGCTCGCTAAAAATGCAGTGGAAGAAAAAAACCACGAGAAGTCCTTAGCAGGTAAAGGATGGCATAAACTAGCATTAAATTACGTGCTATTCTTCCCATGTACTGCGTGAGGGTGGTAGATATAATGCTTTAGAAAATAGAATACTAGTGATGTTTGATTGTCTGAGATACAAGAACTAGAAAAGCAATTGGCTACCTGTGCTGACAAGAGGCTACAGGTTGTAAGAAGTAGAGAGGCAAGAGAAGCAAAAGCACATATCTGGCTAGAACAGATCACGAGTCGGGGTGGGATATGAAGGCTCCAGGTACGTTTTAAAATCAGCAGGATCCCTCTGTAGTGTTTTGTCAAAGAAAAGAACGCAAGGTCTGAGGAACCACTGGGCAGACACGACGACATGACTTATTTCATTACAGAAAAAAAAACAAAAAAACAAGACCACCTCTGGAAAGAGGAGGGAAAAAATGATAGTTTTTTGTTTGTTTTTTTAAACACAGCTCGAGTCTTTGTCCTAATGATTTAGCTTGTCGCTGAGCATTATGTTGATGTATTATTGAGTGTTGCTCGACATCGCCAGTCCATTTGAAAACAGTATTTGGTTAAACTGCTCCCCCTTTTTCCTGTGTTTTTATTTAGAAAAAGAAAAAAAAAGTCTGAGACAGCATTAGGTGTGTCGGATTACATTTGTTTATAGATGCTGACGTCCTTTGTTTCCAGCTCGTATGTAAGGTGACTGATGACCATCTCCTCTTTTTCCTTGGCTGTGGTGCTGTTAAAATCCACCAGAAACACATCGAAATGCCCCACCCCATCTTCAGAGCCTTAACTCATATTATTTCAGTTTTGTCTTCCTTTCAGGGTGATAAGAAGCCGGGTCTGCAGCTGTGCAGGGAAAGCAGGAGGGATGGGGGAGAAATGGGATGATCAGGATTCTTCAGGAGGGTCAGCGTCCTCTTCAACAGGTTTTGGTTGCTTTGTCAGGATTGCTTCTGCTTCCTCAAACATCTGGGGAGAACCAAAAGAAGAACAGTGATTAAACATGTAAGCACAAGGACACAGTCCGTTTTAAAAAACTTCAAATCAAGTTTCAATTGATCTTACTGGCATAAATTGCACATCCTGGAAAAGTTCTTGTATGAAACGTCTTGAGGTCAGGCGAAATGCACAGTGGGATAAGAGATGAGAAACCTCCGAGTACAGGCAAATGTCATCAAACGCATATGAAAACTTCTCTTTTATCCTGAAGAGAGATGAAATATTTTAGAGACCTTGGAAAAACAACTTTAAAATGCATCCAGAGTATATGCACAAAAGGGGGAAAAGGAGCCTTACGTCAGTAGTCCTGTTTCGTGGCCTTTGGTTCCTACGGAGGAGCTAAGGTTGATGATGAGGCGGAGCACCTCCTTCCTCAGTAAGACTCGAGAGGCGGGGCCGTCCTCGGATATCGCCTTGCCACCTGAGGGAAGCAAGCGAATATTTATACATACACTCTTATTTACGTTCACAAAACCAAGGGACTCATTATCACCCAATGGCACTTTATAAATAAAGTAACTCAATTAAAATATAACCCCATCTCCTCATAATTTATTACTGTCTCTAAAATTGGGTTTATTCATCATACAGTGAATTCTGAAGTGTGTGGGATGAGAAGAAAAACAGTCAAATCAGCCTGCAGCATGCCAGGTTTCCTAGCAACATTTATTGTTTATACATAGTTTGATATAAAAACTGCTATAAACTGATCCAGAGCTAGCGGCATGTGATTGATTGATAAAGTTCAATAAAACGTGATTAATTATTGCAGGGCTGAGTGGGTTGTTGGAGACGTGGCAGAGCTGGGTGGAGTGTGTTATTGGACACAAATGGGGAACTGGACTGGTTGCTGGCTGTGCGGGGCAGTGTGGGAAGCGCAGCTGAACTGGGGGGAGAATCCAGAGTGTGGAGAACTAATCCATAAATGCAGAGCAGAGCAGCTGAGTGGGGCGGCACTTGGGCCTGAGCAGGAGAGCTGAAAACTGATGCAGAGCAGTGTGGATGATGAGATTTGTTTGACTCGTTAATTCATTCAAATGTGATTCTTATTATGTTGGAACCAACCACGTAGTGATCTCAAGTCATTTGTAAAACTAATAAACTCCCTAAGACTTCATTTTAAATACTTATTCTGTTACATCATTTCTTGGAATAAGAAACATTGAATGAAAATTCAAAACTAAACCTTCAAGAAATTACTTCATTGTCAATGTCTGGGAGTTTGGGTTTAACTTTTATTTCTTATTAATGCTGCAATTTTATGCTGAAGTATCAATGTGTGTGTGGGCTTTTGCATTTGCTTATTCCACAGAACTGAACTTTAATCAAACATTAAGGACTGAATATTCCACAGGGCACAACGTTTGACTCACTTGTCCTGCCACTGGTCATTTTAGGACACTCATCAACAAAAAAAAGATTAAACTAAACAGACTTTCCTAGTTAAATAAAGACTTCCTTTGTCATTCTAATTTGCTTTGATGGTCTAGAGAAAGAGAGAGGAAACAGGTGGAAAGAGAAAAAAGGTCCAACAAATGAGTTGATGGAGAAGGAGACAGTACGACTTTCAACTGGAACAAAGCAGCACTTTTTAATTTAGCATATTGTGGTTATTTGTGAGCTTACCAATGACAATGTCACCAGGTGTAGGTGTGCCAGAGACTGAACCTTGTGACACAGCAGCATCACTGCAGCCTGACACCCCAGAAAATTTTGACTGTGGCATCACCTCCAGGCGGTGGCCGCTCTGGCCTCCCCATGATGGAAAGTCGACAAAATCTGCGAGAAAAGATGGGAAGAAAAAAGCATTCCTTGAAGTATTTGTTAGGTTCAATCCGCATCCGTTCAAATGACTGAATGTGTGCGTGTCAGCTTACCTGTACGAGAGTGTGTGCTATTGATCAGTGGTTGGGTGGGGTATCCAAGGACGATCGCTCCCACGCAGTAGAGGCAGTTTTCTTCAGTGTGAACCTGCAGGCCCGTCTCCTCTGAGCCCACCATGTGGTTCGGGGTGTCTCCTCGGTGCACAATCAGCTCTGAGATACTAAACTGCTGCTTCAGCACTGGGAGGGCAGGACGATCACCTACAGAGGTGATAAGCACCAACAGAAATCAGTCTCTTGTCTTTGTGCAGCTTTGTTTCTTTCTTTCATAAGCTTTCAATAGTTTATTTAATTATGTGCAAAGTGGACGTTACCATCGCCATCACCGAAAAGAAAACGTTTCCGCTCTTCCGATGGCGGGCTGATCCTCTGCTGAAAGTAGGCAGAGTCTCTGATGTGGAACATGTCATGGATGTCCATCGGCAGTGCAAGGCCAATGTAGTCGTCGTTACATCCGAAGGTGACGCTGGAGACCATGGAGCGTACTGAAGAGCAGCGGTGCAGGGTGCTTTGGTTGATTGGACTGAGTAGCTCTTCTTTATCCAAAGAGGCAAAACTCAGAGCTTTCAGAAACCTAGGGAGGGCAAGAGGAGAGGTGCATGAGAGGATCCGGGGGGAGAGGCTGGGAAAGAAAAGGAACATGGGGAATAAATGGGAAAAAATGTTTGGTAAAAGAACAGAGAGGGGAAACTTTTTTTTGCTGCAGAACGCCATCAGAGCAGCGGCAGCAAAATACATTTTGTCTCCATTGTCTGAGGTTTAAAGTTATAAATGAATTCTTTTTCTAGTGCAATCAGTGGGTAATGTACAGGTTAAGAGTTATGAACTCATCTGTTACACCTTTGTATCAGAGATTTAGCTCTTTTTTCACACTCTTTCACATTTCCTTATTTTCTGGTCCTGCTTTTTGCACTAACTTACCTTACCCACCACATTTTTTCTATGCATGACTTATCACTGTGATGCATTTATACTAGACACATTGTAAAACATCAAATTGCACTAATCTCTACCTGTTTGCCATTTATATTTTTAAGTTGGGGTCACAGGTGGGCCACTAGAAATTCACCAGTCTACGTGGGACTTACTTGCACAACAGGAAAGCACTGATGGATCAACTGTAGGCAAAGAGCAGTTAGTACTCTACTAAAGCAGCAACAACATATTGATCTGTCTGGACTGGTGCTAGAAGCTACATCTCTAAAGGAGGACACAAGCTAGGTCCACCCACCGCGGTACGAGTGTTCTGGACAGCCTGCGGTACGAACTTACGGCGCTGGGTTCTGGACAGGTAACCCTCCTATCTGATATCCTGACAGACACAGCAGAAGGTGCACAAAAAGACACCCATCACCCCCCCCAAAAAAAATCTGTCATTCCAAAGGTACAAAAAAACTAAAAGCGAAAACTCAGGTTCAGGCATGTTTTTAAACATTCTTTAGGCTGATGGCTAACATCTTCACGTGGCACCAAACCTAAATTAAATACGCTCAAAAAGACAACAGAATAATAGAGATGGGTTAAGATGTTCCGTTTCCATGAAGCAAACCCTGCGGTGGAGCCGACTTACCTGCGGGGAGTTAGTCTGGAATCGAGACTGCCGCTCTTCATAGTGATGGTGTCTGTGAACAACACATCTTTGGCAGGTGAAGCCAGCGCTTCGCTGTGAGACAAAGATGGGTGTATCCTCTGCTGCTGAAGCCTCTTCAGCGTAGCGTAGCCCAGCGCGTCTCTCGGGCTGGTGTACATGAAGCTACAATCAGCCAGGCTTTTTATGGTGGTCACTGAGGGGGACTTGAGAGACTGAGCCCGGCGGGGGAGGGTGTGGGAGGAGCCGGGAGGTACCAGAGAGACAGTGGAGGACTTGGACGTGGACATGTGGTTAGTCTGTGACTGGGGGGTGAGGGATGAGAGTGTTTTGACAGTCTTGGCAGACACTACTGTGTTGAGGCTCACGCAGTCAGAGGAATCTGGTTCGGCCTCCGGATGCTCCGGGTTACCAACGGTTTCCCGAGAGGGACTGGAGCTCATGGAGCTGATGCCGCTCGTTGTGGTGTCCGTGTTAAAGCTCTGACTGCGGCTTTTAAACTGAGTACCTCCGCCACCCCCTCCTACATTGCCTCCGCTAGAAGAGCCGCCATCTCCTGCTAGACGCTCCCGGCTGCTCTGCTCTCTCTCCCGGCTATGTTGCTCTGCAGCCCCCTGGCCTCCGAGAGTACTAAGTCCGAGGCCTGAGCCTCCTCCCTTCGACAGCCTGCCATCCACCAAGTGCTCCTCTGAGCCCCCTCTTGTCCCAACAAATGATGTCTCCAGACTGACCGTTGGACTCTTTGGCATTCCTCGGCCATTAAAGATAGGGGTAAAGTCCCCCTGGTTTGGGCTGTAGACAGAGGGCTCTGTCACTGTCCTGTTCCGCCTCATACTCCCAGTCTTGAGCTCAGTGGGGGTTCGGGAGCCCGATGGTGTCTTGGGGTCACTGGTGGAGCGCAGTTTCTTGCTGGGGAGAGACAGGGAGTTCAGGAAGCGAGTGCGAACGAAGCGAGTAGAGGCCAGTATTGTAAAGGGGCTACGGTCTTTGACTGGTTTGGAGTGTAAGTATAAAGAAGTCTCATCCGACTGGTCCAGAACATCACACTTGTCATCATCCAGGATGTACATGTCTAAGAGAAATGAAATTAATTAAAAACGTCCAACTTCTAGCAATAATTACTGATTATTATAGAGATCTGTTAAAGAAACAAAACATAAATTTCAATCGTTTTGGAGAACATGGTGACAAAGCAAAGGCAATGTGCTACGTACTTGGTTGAGACTCGCTCTCGCTGTTGTGGCGGGAGCTGGTGGACTCCGAGTTTAGACTGAGCGTGCTCGGTACTGAAGAAAGTTCAGAGGTCAGCTGTGTGTCCACTTCGTCTGGAGTGACGGGCCACAGCGTCCTGCGACTGTGTCTGACTGCATCCCAACCGAACTGTTTTAGCACCTCACAGCCCTGCTTGGTCTTGGTGATCACACCCAGCACATACACACATGTCCTGTGGACACCAAGTGACAGTCAAAATACAAATACAAATACAAATACAAAAAAAACAAAAAACAAAAAAACAGTCTGACGTTACATGTTCCATAGTAACGCTTTTTAATGTAACTGAATAAAAGACAAAGAAAGAAAAGCTCACCCTCGCACTGACAGCACCTCACAGTGCTGAGCCAATGCAAGAATATCAGGAATGACGTTCTCCTCCTGCAGGAGATTCAGACCCCAGTTTGAAGAGCCAATGTTGCCCTGAAAAAACAAAAAAACAAAACGAAAAACAACCACAATCAAGCCCATTTCTTTGTATTATCATTAAAGATTAACTTATGTGACATGGATTAATCTGCGTTACTGACTAGTGCCCAGAGAGCAGCTTTGAGCTGTTTGATGCCCTCCCAGGTGTCCAGCATCGGGGAGCGAATCGTGTAGCTAAGGTCAGGCACTACACTCTGGAGACAGATGGGGCAAAAATAAAAGACAAATGGCACTTTAGTCCTACAGAACAGCTGAATGATAAATTTTAGTTAAAAAAAAAAAAAAAAAAAAAGAGAAGAGAGAGACCTTACCTGAGCCTCTAATAAATGACAGCCTGTCTTATCGTGAACCAGCTGACCATACAAGTGCACAGGGAGATAGACGTTTGGTCTTTGTAACCTGGAGACATGGCCAAAGAAATCAGGCACAGTCAAAAACCCATTCACTGCTACAGCTCATCGAATGGCCCCAAATTTCACCCTTCTTACCTTTGGTTGCTGCGTCTGACGTAGTTGTCTCCATCGACAGGTTTGCGGTAAGTTGTTAGTGCTTCATTGAGCTGCTCCTCTATCTGGTCCACATACTTAAGATTATACTCCTGCAATGCACAGAGTCTACTTAATATTCAATTCAATTCAATTTTATTTATAGAATGCCAAATCACAACAACAGTTGCCTCAAAGGTGCTTTATACTGCAAGGTTAAGACCCTACAATACAAAGAAAACAGAAAAAAACCCAACAATCATATGACCCACTATGAGCAAGCGCTTTGGCGACAGTGGGAAGGAAAAACTCCCATTTAACAGAAAGAAACTTCCAGCAGAACCAGGCTCAGAGACGGGCAGCAATCTGCCGTGACCGGTTGGGGTGAGGGGAGGAAACTCATTTGTATGTGTCCTTGTTATAGCCACATGATTTCAGAATATTTTAAATGAGATTTCATTAAGCTGTCTGCTGATATTTGAATAATACCTTTTGCCATTTATCCAGCTGTTTGCTGACATAGCCCCTCTCATTGAGGTAGGAGAAACCTTTAGGAATGGACAGGAACCTAAAAATGCAGGGGAAAAAAGATGTAGAGTGTGTTCAAGAAGGACTATTTCAGAGTGACGCACTGTTTTTGTAATGTTGTAGTGGTAAACACCTACCTGAGGAGCAGTAAGAGGCCTTTGTCTCCCAGGTGGGACACAGCTGGTTTCAGCTGGATTAGAGCGTGAAGGTTGGCCTGTAAAGCAGCAGAATGGGCACGAAACGAAACTGTCAGATAACACGATGGGCTTAATCTTATCTGCTTTTGCTATTTTATTATTTAATTGCTTTGCTGAGAACAATCTAAGCGGCATCATCACTCACCTTGTCTTCACACGCCTCATCCAGTATGTCCAGGGCCTCCATGGACACAGCTTTGTTGTGGTCGTGAAGCTGTGTGACCAGCAGCTCCATGCCCCAGCTACTGAAGAACTCCACGCCTGCACGCAGCAGCACGCGGAGGTGCTTGGTAGCATACAGCCTGCACGTCTGCACAGCGAGACAAGAAGTATTGTGTGATCAGGGGTGGTGCGAACATTTAATTGCCAAGAGGCCTACGACTTCTCAGAAGGTGTGGTGGGTGGAGGAAAATGAGGTGATCGGGTGTGTTTAGAAAAAGAAAAAAGGGCAAGTTTGGCAATAGATGATTCAGTTTATTTTATGCCTGCAAATGTGGCAGTGTGATAAGAGGTTGCTGACCACTGTGCATGAAAAAAAAAACAACTTCCTCATTACTACTAATTACAATATTAGTGTTTTAACAGCTTGCTTACATCAGTAGAAGCAGTGAGGATCTTGGAGAGGATCACTCTGGCCAGACCATCTCTGCTGTAGTCCAGTGTGGATACAGCGAGTTTCAGCACAGCATCCTGGTTCTTTACAGAGCACAGATTCAGCAGGCTGAAAATAGAGGGGAGAAAAAAAAGTGCAAATGTCACCTTGCAGGATGTTTTTAATCAAACAGCTCTGACACAATTTCACTCTGCAGGCCTGGAAAAGCTCAAAATAGATTAAAGACTTTTCTGCTCACTCACCACTGAAACAGGCCACATTTCTCTAGTAGTTTGACTCCCTGTGGGTGTGCCGAGAGCGTCCCCAGGAAGAGGAAGTAGTGTTGGCTGAGTGTAGTGAGCAGGCCATTACTCTGCAGACAGCGCTCGGGCTTCATTCCAGAGGACGAGGAGAGCCACGATACCATGTCCTTCACCAGGTCCTCCAGGTAACCCTGGCCATCCTGGTTGATGGCGGGGGAAAAATTAAAGCGTCAAAAACAAAGGTGGGTTCGTAAATGACCAAAAAGAAGAAATAAATTAGAGTACGAGCATCAGTGTAAACCTCTCTAACCTCATCGGAGTCCATGAGGAACTCAACAAACTGACAGCCAACCACAGTGAGTTGTCTGGCCTTTAGGTGATCCAACGCAAGCCCTGCGTACAACTTACTACTGGGCTTATAAAAGTACAGCAGCCTCCGAACAAACCTGCATCAGACAAAAACAAATAGAAATGTAAAACAGGATGTGAGAAAAACACGCTGAACAAATTCAGTTTCTTGTAATGAGCTGTGGTTAAATAAAAAAGGCTTACTTGTGCATCTGTTCATCTTTGTTGTTCCTGAGGTTTACATTTGGCCACTGAGAAGACAAAAAAATACCCTTTTACACATGTAAAAACAAAACATCGAGTCTGTGGTGGTACATGAGAACAGCCTGACCTTGAGGATGGTGGCAATAAGCAACCAATTCCACTCCAAATTCTGCTTGTGGTTGAGAATCTGACTGTCTCGCAGATTCATCATCAGTGCTTCTTCTGTGTCCTGAGCACAGAAGCAGAAAAAACAGAAGCTGTAAATATGAAAGTAAAACTACTTTTTTATTTTTTATTTAAATGTTTAAACTTTTGGCTTAAATTGTTCAAATCAGGTTTGCAGCAAATAACAGCCTCCCTCTTTCTAGCTACACTAAACACACCACATACTTTGCAACAAACACACAGAAGCCAAAGCCAAGACCAACCGTAAGATGGAAAATACGTGAAAGATGTTGATCTTTACCTTAATGACATAGATGTCTTTGTGGACACGTGAATCTCTGCGGTTATGTGACGACACAGACTTGCGAATGATGTGGTCCAGATAAAGACTGTGCGGTTTCAAACCTTTCTTCTTCTTCTCATGGAAACGTTTCAGATTGTTGACGGCTGCACTTGCTCGCCTAGAGCGCATAGAGACAAAGATGGAGGATGTTTTAAAAGTGGTTTAACAACTAGTACGTATTCAAGTAAATCCTACAAGTTAGTCGGCGACCAGTTGGCGAGTAGTGGCTGGATGAAATTTTCAAAATGATCGAGTTGGTGTGACATAGAAGATGCCAACGTTATCACTGAAAATGCACAACTTTGAACGTTGAAGGCGAACAGCTCCCTTTTCTTCCACACGAACTACAGGTGACCACGGCAATCTGCTTGCAACCAATGTAAATCCAAGGAAGCTTATTGTGCAGCACCCACTTTTCAACCTCCAGCAACCACTCGTCAACCGGTCGTGGACACGCTTTATTAGCGACTGATTGTTACCAGCGAGTCAATGACCAGTCTATAGCCCTGAAATCAGCACTACTGATAAGAACATCTTTATGAGAGAACACTGCAAAGGATGATGACTAAAGATTAGAGGAAATTATTTTGTTACAATAAAAAAAGCAAGAGTGATTGCGTGTGTGGCAGTTTGTACTCACAGTCGTTTCTCTTGGGGGATGTCAAAGGAGGCTGCCATGTTGATGAGAGTGGGAAGGCAGTGCAAGTGGTGACTATGGGAATGAGGAAGGATGGTATTTGCCTGATCAAGAGAGAAATAAAACCTTGGTGAGTATAGCAAAAGAAGCCAAAGGAGTCAAAGAAACAAAGATATAGCTTAGAAACTTTTAGAAATGCACAAAATGATACTTTTTTTTATTACCATGTGTAAAAGGTCTCCCAGAAGGATGGTGGCCCTGACAGCAAGCTGGTCATCGCTACTGGTCACAACTTCAACAAGGCCCTACAGTATCAAAAATAAAGGCACAAGGAAGGACATCAATATAAAAGCCACCCAAAAGCTGTTAATACAATACTGTGAAACACACACTCCTAGCCTGAGTAAATTAAACCTATTGTGCTTTTGCTGTGTCAGCTCACCTCTAAAAGCCCGCTGGAAATGAAGGCAGAAAGAACAAATGCCAGGTAGTTGTCCATTAGGTCAGGCCTAATAAAGGGAGCAGATAAAAATCATTTTATGGCTTGTTTACACACTGAAGTGACAACAGTTCTGTCAATATATTTCATTTCTATCCTGTGCTTTCGTTTGTCACCTAGAGCGGGCCCGATGGGGTAGGATGACTTTGGCCTCGGCAGCAACAAACCCGTCAGACAGTCTCCAGGTGTCCTGGAACCTGGCGGGGTCTGAAGGAGAACAGAGCAAACAGACCAGTCTGTCAGTGTGTGTAAAACATGGACCTACTAGGGGTCTAAAAGAAAGGCTGTACTGAGATAACATATGAAATGCTGAAACAAAGATTTTTTTTTAATCTTAAGCAGGACAAAATGCTAATTTTTGAAATTGATTGCATTAACACATTTCAAAAAAGTGGAGCTGGAACATTTTTCACACTATGTCAGAGAACAAAAGCACAAACGTGTCGTAGTTTCCTGGTGATTTAGAATTTAAGCTAACTTTTTTTTAGTTCAAAACACACCAAATGTAGTCAGTGGGTCACTAAATGCATTTTATTATGTAGACATGCAGACTGTGCTTCGGTGCTGTCCTGCTAAAATGAAAGCGTTTTCCTTCAAATGGACTTTATGATCATGTTGCTCCAAAAATTTCTACCCTGTGTATCATTAAGCATTATTTGGGCCTTCACAGATTTGCCCAGTTATCCATGTAATGTGCACTAATTAATCTCCAAACCCCAGCAGATCCTGGTAATAAACAAGATGGCCCCTCTTTACACAACAGAATGAAGCAGATGAGACCACTGGGCAGCTTTCTCCCTCCTAAATGAGCTCTGGTTGGCTCAGGAAGGACAGCTGGATTTTTGGATGGTCTAATTTGTATCTGTGGATCCAACTATGAACTGTGTCCACAGATAACAATATTCAGAAGTGTTCCTAAACTAGAAGTCCCCATCCCCTGGGACACGAACAGGTCCCGGTCCGCGAGTCATCTGGCACCAGGCCACAAGAGTTGAGGTTCGGGTGTGAAATGTATGGTTTTCAGGATTTTTATCGTTAACTCGGTTTCCGTGTTGTAGTTGTGTTTCTTATTTTGAAAGACATATTTGCGTGTTACCATAGTGACCAGAGAGCATTAAGGGGCAGAGAGGAGGATGTTACTTTCATTGTTGTTGGCGCATTTCAGGAGGACGCAGCTAATAAAGTTGCACAATAACACAGTGAATTTGCGTTTATTATTATTATATTTACAAAACACCACAGCTTTTGTCTTGGTCGTATCATTTTATTTTGTTGTATTTATCTGCGACACCTTAAAGGCCGGTCCGTGAAAATATTGTCTGACATTAAACCGGTCCGTGGCGCAAAAAAGGTTGAGGACCGATGCTCTAAACCCAACAAAAACCTGTTTTTGATGCAGTGTCACACAAGGGCCCGAAGACCACGGTCATTTAGTGTTGGTTTTCTGACGCTGTCTCGTTTCCCATTTTCTCCAAATCTTTAATGATATTTTGTGCGATAGATGACTAAGTCGCATTGTTCTCTGCTTTTCTTTTTCCAAATTACACATTTAGTGTTAACTGTTTAAAAAAAAAAATGTTCACACTCAGTGGGCAAACCGAGTAAAAGTGCTGAGCCCCTCTCATCTTTACTCATGAACAACTCAACCTTTCTGGGAATGTCTTTTCACACCCCGTTGTGTTACTTATTAACCTAACAAGCAGTCAGATCTTCAACCAGGTGTTTTTTTTCCTTCTTATATTACATAACTGTTCCAATCTCATGCTTCCCCTCTTAACTTTAGTGAAATGTGCTATTTACATCAAATACTTAATATAACAGTTCCACTGCTTGTTTTTATATGGGGATTAAATGATTTGAAAATTTGATATTTTTTACTTACCAACACTTAGAAGGGCTTCAGTGAAGTCTTGCGTTACAATGGGCACAGGAAGCCTGAATATCTCATATAACACTTCCAACAAGCCTTTCTGCAAAATTGGTTAAAAATAATTATATAGATATGGCAAAAGCTGCATTGTTAAGTAGCGGAAAAGAACAGTTAGAACTAATGTTAATGCTGTGTAAAACAGTGATTTGCAAGCTTGAGAGAACCCAATGGTTTGATAAGATGGCATGGCAAAAACACTCTGTGCTTTAAGCCTCTGAAGCCAAGCAGACTTAACATTAGTAAAAAGGCTGTTTCATACAGGAAATTTTGGTTGATTTTTAATTTCTAACGCAACTCCATCTAACCGCTGCACAATAAAAACAATCGCTTGATTGGAATCTTCACAGGCAAGAATCAGAAAAATCTGTATTTTTGAATATCAAACTTCCTTAAGGGCCAAACATTTTTTTACTCACCCTAACTTCCATATTTGGTATGCAAAGTAAGCCAATTAAAGACTGGATTCCAGAATTTCCAGCCTTGCATAGGTTGATAATTCCTGAGACAAAAAAAGAGAGAGAGAATAGGAGATATTTAACAGTGGGTATTCCTAACAAGTATGTACAGTAAGAATAATATTAAAGCCCTTACCAGACCAGGAGCGGAAAGCAGCCACTATAGCCATTCGGCTGGACAAAAAACGGGCTTCTCTGTCTTCCCTGTGAACAAGAAAAACACACGTTAAAGACTGGACATCATGTTCTGTGCACACAACATCGTTATGATCTTTCAGCCGGTGGTTGTTCAGACTACACAACACAAACAAAACATACAAGATCTTTTATAAAAATCTGACTTCACATCCTCTGGCAAGCCGCTGCAGAGTCAAGCCACCCTGACAACAAGGGTCGCCTAACAAAAACACTACACAAACCCTCCTCTCTCTCGCTCTCTCTCTCTCTATGCACAGTTCAACCACAGGCTCTTCATACCACCTACACACACACACACACACACACACACACACTCACTTGAGTTGCCCCTCAGCCGTGTCTGCGTTGTGACGGTAGTGAAAATCAGTGAAAGGCGCGAGGATTTGCTGGAGAACAGAGAACAAAAACAGAGAAAATTGATGCATACAAAACAACAGTAAAGCGAGCTTCAAATTACATCTCTATTTACTACTGTCAGGAAAAATCTTGCAGTAATAATTAACCTGCTACACATGTTATATAACATCTGTGTGCCTGCAGTGATGAGCTGCTACTGTCCCAAGTGTTTACAGACAATGAGGCTTTGGAGAAATGCTGTAACTGATTACTGTAAGCTCCATGGGAAAGAGACGGGCACCTACAGCTCTGCTAATCCTGACTGGAATGGCTCCCAGCACAGTGGCTCATTTTTAAACAGAAGCTTCTTCTCAATTCATAAACTATGTGTGTGTGTGTGTGTGTGTGTGTGTGTGTGTGTGTGTGTGTGTGTGTGTGTGTGTGTGTGTGTGCACAGACCTCCAACTCGACGTCAACACGCACATACTGGCGGGTGCGTGGGTGGTTGAGTAAGTGGAGGATAGTGGTGATAAGTGCTTCGTTGATGCGACTTAGTTGACAGTCTATCACACTCTTAAGGATGGTGCTGAGGCCTCCCCGTTTGGCCACCACCTCTGGGTTCTTCAGGGCTACACAGGCAATGGCGATAATAATAATATTAATAATAATGTCAAACAACAATAGTTCTCCACAAGTTTTTCTGTTCACCCAAAGAGCACCATGCATAGCAACCGCACCGGCCTGCATCTTTAAACACCAGGCACTTTACCTAGCTCGCAAACGATGGCGATGGCGGCGCGCACCATGCGGTCTCTCTCCTGCAGGCCGTCGGTCCCCACAGCAATTAAAGAGTTTGCAATAGACGTGGGGAAGAGCATTGCATTGACAGTGATGATCTACAGAGAGAGGAAGAGGACGGGAACATGAGTCATCAAAACAAGTCACAACAAAGAGAGGCAAAAAATAACTTCACTGTTTTGCTTTCTTTATGGCTGCTTTTTGGAGAACTCCAGAAAAAGAAGATCAACTTTGAAATGCCAAAACAGGATCTGACTATTCTGAAGGTCACATATTTAGTGCTTGTAAAACTGGTAGTTCCTTCAAGAAATTGAAGCTGAAACCACAGCACTATGACTCTAAGCGCTGTGTGAAGATTTACAGTAAACTACTAAACTATAAATAACCCCGCCTGCAGACACATGCAAACCATCCCCACTGACACTCCTGCTAACCCCGGGAGCTTTCTGGTGGCATTTTGCTGGCACAGGAGTGAGCAGTGAGGGCAAATTCCTCGAGTGACATGAGAGCGACTCTGCAAATGGTCAGAAGGAACAAAGATCACCAAAACACACGCCTTGTTTTTACCTTTCGGACAAGTCGTAGAGCCTGAGTCCTCTCACCCTCATTACTCTGCTGGATGTCAATGCATCTGAAAAAATCCACAATCATAACAATCAGTCATGTACCATGGTTGGGCCGAAGAAGAAGACTGGCTGAAGCATGGTACTACAAACACCCTAACAACTTAACTAAAAAAAAACCAAACATTTAGTAAGATAACAACTGTTACACCTGACTGGGTGGTTCAAAGCAGGAGCTCACCTGGCTATCAAGTAATCCACCTGTAGTCTGAGGACCTTCTGCAGTACGCTGGTATCTCTGATGAGGTAGCGAAGCGCCCGCAACCCCGCAGCACGCACTTCTTTAGCTTCATTAAGGAGAGCTAGTCGCAGACTAGAGATTAAAAACAAACAATAAAGTGACTAAAACTAGAGCACGGACAACCTGACACAAGATATGACTATTTCCTTCATTACTTCATTGACTGGTACTTTTCAATCGCACATTCACGTCATCATTATTCCAAATCCAGAACAGCTTAACAGCCAGAGTAAATAAAAAGCGCACATTAAATAGGACACACTTACACTATTATCGGTGGCTGAGATTACTTACCAAATGATGATTTCTTCATATGTAAACCCAAAATTTTCCTCACGGTGGCCAATGCTGCACAGCAGCTATAAAACAGAAACATAAAAATGGTTTCAATATGGCCATGACTCCATTAGCATGGTTTTAGTGAAGGACGAGAGTAAATCGAGCCCAGTCAGGTACATGTTGATTTAATGGATAACTGTGAATGAAAAAAACGTGTTCAACTCATTTAGAGGCTCTAAGTAGGAAACCCATAGAGGCAAAACACTTGCCACTATTTGTCGCTTAAGCACATGCTTGTATGATAGTACGTCAAAACACAAAGGACATAAAATAGAGCCTTCAATAGTCGGACTAACTCTGTTGTATTGTTCTCTCATAGCCTAGATATGTGCTCCTATTTTCTCTATCCTATCAGGTCTGGCAGTCAGTGTGACCCTGTTTCCAGCATGAATGTCTACCTTTAGCAATTCCCTAAAGGCAGGTAAGGCTGTGCAGTATGTCGTAAAAAAAAATCACATCTCAATATGCATATAAAAGGAGTAGTCATCAAATACACTTTTTCTTAAATTTATTTATTGATCTGAGAGACCAGAGGAGGAGGCCAGAATGAGCCCGGGAAAGACTCCAAAGCGGCCCACTGGACAGCTTTGGGAAATGTGATGAAGCGCACAGACTTATGACCCTTTTAACTGTATTTTCATAACTTTTACAGCTTTCCTACTGATAAAAGACCCCTCACCACTGCTATTGATAATACAGCTAAGTAATTAAGTAACGTATAAACAATTAAATGAAAAAAGTTCCTGTTTTTTCCACTATGTACTATAACATGTTTCCATACTAGATAGGAAAAAAGGACAATGAAAAATTCACATGTTATAAAACGACGGTCTGGGCAATGAACTACTACTACTACTTTTTCTGTAATTTTACAAATTTATCACGTAGGCTCAAAGTAGGATGTATGTAGCCCACAATTCAAAATGACTTTACACGTATGATTTTGAGGATGAGAGACAATATAAATCTGTGGTAAACACAGTGAAATAATAAAATAAAGAGTTGCAGTACTTGTAACTATTAAATCAAAGAGAGAGAGGGAGACAGAGAAATTTTAAAAAATGTAGCAAAACAAACAAAAAAATAGATCGATCACTTCTCCCTTTTACTGCAGAAAAATGGCCTTGTGGGCCCTTTATGTGGGAAGTGAATGAATCTGCTGTCACTGTGTAAGAGGTAACATTGCCAGAACAAAGCCACAGCAATTGCGAAGTATAAGCCAGAAGGGTATTCAAATGACTGAAATCAGCTATAAAGTGTCAGCCCCATGTTTCTATGTAATCATTATCCAAATCTTATGTGGAGTGTTTACATCTCCCTAATAACTGTAGAGCTGCACACAACAATTAGTGAGAGTGTGAACTCTAATCAATATTTTACATATTTAATGTTCCAAATATGGTCTTATATGTTCTGTAACATCGTTCTTAGAGGTACACTGAGGCTCCATCACACAACAAGTCAATGCTCCTCCATCACAGTTGTCTATTCTGCCATGTGTCTCCTAATGAAAGTGAACCACTGTAGTACTTTTGGTTTAAACTGTTCCTCAAAGTTGAGCATAAATTTCCTAAAGCACAGCAGAGCATGAGGCAAGACGGAGCAGGGTGGAATGGGTGATGAGAGGCAAGAAGGAGTACAGGGTTGTTTTAAAACAGCTGTGATGTCAGAGCCCAAACAGGCAAACGAGGGGAGAGGAGATGGGGACAGGGTGCACGTGATGCTCTCCGGGGGGGTGGGGGATTAGCTAACCCTCACTGTCCTGGAACCCTTATAAGGAATCAGAGTCATGGTGCTCTAATGGGACACACACACATCATGGCTATAACCCTCCAGTCAGTTGTAAACAAGAGAGTTAGGTGTACAGATTACAGGCACACAAACCCATGCTCTCACTCAGCCTCGAGCCTGCTCCAGTGCCAACTGCACAGTTGTAGGAGGGCCAGTACTCACTTGCCACACAGCTACCAACAATTGTTTACAATATGCTTATGACCGGCAGTCAGAAGTGGTCTGAGGCAGTGTGGTGAAAGAGGAAATCAGGATATAGCTATGATCAGGATTAAACTCTCCTGTAAACATGTGCATGGACAACTGCAGATACCCACAAACCAGTAGTGTTCTGATAATACTGGTTTTTAGTTAGCTTCCTTAAAATACTGCACATCACTGTCTTTGCACACAGACACAGACAGACCTGTCACAACAAAGTGAAGAGCAGACAAATACCTGCACTCAGATGACAAACTTTATACCAATTCGACCCCAGCGTAGTTGCAGACGGAGAGAGTGAAACTGTGGTAAATTAGACAGTTGTGCACATGGCTTTGATTTTTTTTTCCCCACCTGAGGTGACAGTCAGAAAAGCCAGTGTGCTCAAGGCACAAGAAAGTGCTAGTTTTCTATCTCACACTCATCTCGCAATCATTAACTCATTTTCTCCACCCCTGTTATTCCTGTTCAAAATAACAGGAAGGAGAGTACTCCAGCATGTTTTGGGCTGACAGGAGAAAAACACCCTCGAGAGGTCACTAGTCCTGACCAACAGGGCTGACCTGAAGGATGAGCGATAACACTAAAACAGATTTTTTTTAATGAGCAAAAAACTTACATTTCATACTCTTTTTTTTAAAATTATTATTATTGTAGTCATTCTGCAATCAACTGAAGAAGACACTTAGATGAGTGACGAAACGCTTCTCCCACTGAAAACACTACGTCCAGATGAACAGATTAAACTTTTGGGGATATTATAGCTATTATTCATCTCTGCATCAGTAACATTTACTGCTGTTAAGTGAATCAGAGCAGTTATACTGCATGGTCAAAAGAATTTAAAACTTGCATATGCTCACATGTGTTACAATCCATGTTAGGATATTTGTGTTTTAAGCCTTGCTGAACTGAAAATCCTCCTAAATCCTCTTTTTTTTTTTATCATCCACATTAAAAACCAGAAGAGAAAAAAATGACTAAAGTAATCTTTTCTTCTTCTTTTTTTAACAAATCAAAGTCTCGGGTCCATACAAACAATAACCAGACACTATTAATCTCAGATTTCAAAGTCTGAGCGCTGCTCCAGATGCACATTAGACTGAAGTGCTCTCCTATCCCTCGAGCTCCTGTTATATTCACTGTCAGCATCACAGTGACAGGCACAACTAGGCCTGCTGGCATCAACACCCAAGAGGAAAAGATCAAGGAGAGGTCAGTGGTGACACTACAGAGGAGGAGCAGCTAATCAATCTTGTGAGATATCTGAACCCAGTGAACCCTCTCAAAAAGCTGCATGTCTCACAACATTTCAGCGAGGCAAAACTGTCTTTAAATGAGGCAAAAATTATCAGAGCTTGACAGCGTTACCTTTATGAAGTTGTTCAGGTGGCCCAGTTTTCGCATGTTACTGACTCCGTGCGGTTTGGCCACATTTTGAAGGATTTCACGGAAGTTTTCTGATGGTTCTAAAGGAGAATGAAAAGGAAATACAATGTAACTAAGGGAGGCGTTAAGCCATATTGCCATAATAATATCAGTCAATGAACCGTAATAGATATCCTGCAGGAAGGAAGTTGGTTTAGCTGGAACTAATGCAGAGTGTACAATCAAAACAAAGGCTAGACACTAAAATAGCCAGACCTGAGCGGGAAGTGTTTTTGTTTTCAGTTCCTTTCAACTATCCTACGTTAAATATTTGACAAACAGGAACCGCATTTTAAAACAGAATCGTCTAAGCGTGGTCGACGCCTAAACGCCCGCTTTGCGTGGGATGACTTCCAGATATTGCCCTGCAAGACAAATGTAAACATCGCACAAACTGGGAAAACACCAGCTTAATGAGCTGCGCAGATCACTTTCTCCTCAACAACAAAGCGCAGCAGATGATAAGCCTGATTACGCTGCAGCTTGTCAAAAAGTAACAGCTATCGGTATTAGTCATCAGTCTCACTGCTCCAAACACTGCACTCAATCTATCGCTCAAAAGTGGAAATGAGAAAAATGCCAGCCCAAAGGGTTACTTTGGTAACAAGCATTTGTAAACATCACGAGCCAATCTTACAGTAAGTTATGAATACATCACATTTTAATTGATGCCACAGTGATTACATGAACTTAGTATGCACATTTGTTATTTCATAACTTTAAACCTCTGGGAACTGACATACTTTATTTTCCCCAGTTTTGGTATTATCAGGAAGAACATGTAAATAGTGCAAATCGCACTGAAGCAGCTGATAGGTTAAGTGTATTGACTCTCCTGTGGTGAAGATTTTAATGTTGTCAGTCACACATATTTCAGGTGAGCATGTCTCTAGTTGAGACGATTGTAATGAATCTAGCAGGGATCTGGGCCTCCAGGACTCAGACACCGCTGCTCCGTGTAAACAAACTGCTATGCAGTGTTGATGCTGGAGGAGTAAATCTGACAAGTTGTGCAGCTGTGTTATCAGTGCTCCTCTGGAAGAACCACCGTGTGTTGCCTCAATGCTTCTCGGCGCACAGCTTTCAGACTCAATTCCCTCAGCCAGTTAGCGATGACAAATGCATGACTGCAACTCTTATGGCTACTTGGCTAAATAACAGGCTAACGTGCCCACTCACGCCGATCAAAATAACAGAGCGTCTTCATGGCTGGTTAGCTGGGGCAGCTAGCTAACGCTAACTCAGCTAGTTAAGTTAGCTCGTTGCCGCCTGTTGTTATGACATCGATAGCGACGTTTTTAGACCAAACAGTGAGGGAAAATGGCGAAATAACAACAGCAGTGACGGGTCAAGCGCGTACACTGTCTAGACTTTCACCACGCGGGGCTAGCGTTTGCAGAAATCGCCCTCATCCATTTTGAACAATAATCGCTTTCAGGGTGATGTGATGAAGCCTCTGCTTACCTCTGCTCAGATCCAGCGGTACGTTCTCCTCCCCGCTGTCATTCCGACCTGTCAAAAACACACACCACGGACACGCCGAGACATTACTCCAAGGTCATCGCGTGCGTGACAAAATCATATTTTGCAATATCCTGCTTTTACAGCAGCCGCTGAACCGAGGTTTTTGTGCTTACCTCGCATCCGAAGACTCCGGATAGGACGGCCGCGGAAGCTGGCCGCCATGTTTCCAGGAACATACACAACACCGGAAACTTCGCGGGTTATCGCGAGACAGCAGACGACAGAAGGACCGCAACAGATCCTCAGCAGACCTAAGATCAGCTGGATCCTCCTTAATATCCCTCTAATCTTACCAGTGATAAAAGCATAACTCTGATCTGGCGACTGTGTTAGGGTTAGCAAAGGGGGATCTCAACACCACATAATTTCTATCACAAATATTATCATTTCAGGTAAAGTTAATTTTTGACTTGCCTTATCCATTCATTTTTTATTGTTTAAGTATATTCTTCCTCTTCTTTTCCCTATTATTATTATTATTATTATTATTATTATGTCTACATTTAACATTGGTTTTGATTGAAAAAAAAACTTTCAACAATTCATGTCTATGAGTGGCTCCAGCTCGACCTTTCACATTTCATAGTTATAACTGATTACTTCGCTATTTTTCACACGTAAAATCTGTCAATAAACATTTAAAGTAGTTTATTCTGGTTTTTAAATATAATTTTAATGATCTAATGTGCAAGTTATTATTATGCAGTTATTATTATTCATTAATTTTTTGTATATATCAAAAGTAAGTAATATCAAAAGTAAAATATCATATTGCAGCACAACTTCTTGTTAGTTAGTTTTTCCCCGTTTTACTAAAGGCAAAACAGGTGTGAGAAAAGAATAATAATAACAATGAATGACTACAATGTTCAGCTTTTCAGGTCTTAATACCTGCAATAACCGTCTTGCACACTTGGTGTCACCCATACATAACAATGAACACTTTGTCAATCTGGGAGTGGACCGAAATGTGGCTTCACCATTTGAAATAAATAGACACTCTCTGAGTACAGGCGTATTTTGTCTTTGTTTGTTTGTTTGCAAATTAATTTCAACTAACAATTGAATGCATGAAAGAAGGTGACTTTTTCTCTTACTCTCTAAAAGCAATGACTCTACACACACATTCTGATCTCTACTCAATTTAATGGCCCAATCTGAAACATCCAAAGGACAGAAGTATTGTATAACCTACCTACCTACCTACCTACCTACCTACCTACCTACCTACCTACCTATCTATCTATCTATCTATCTATCTATCTATCTATCTATCTATCTATCTATCTATCTATCTATCTATCTATAATTAGTGAGCTAATCAGAAAAAAAGTTAATGGTATGGCAGTAGCTTATAGCAGGCCTATTATATTTACATTAACATCAATAACATTAATGTATTCCTATTTTAAAATTAATATGAATACATTTTTATTAACAAACAGCCTAAAGGAAATAGAAACAGCTGATTAAGTCACTGAAAATAGAGAAAGTGTAAAGTCACATGAGAAAGAGATATGATAGGCAACTTTATAATTTACATTTGCTCTGAGCGCATCAGCTAGTGAACTGGAATCATCATAGATACAAAGTTATACAGTAGGCGATGGCTCTGTGATTCTTTCTCTTCTTTTAAATCCTCATGGGTTGTAATGAGAGATTTTATATTAATCTTCCCCATAATCTATGAGCTTACTGAGTGTATTAGATAGATCATTCTGCTAGTGTACATGATTGGCAAATCAGGGATTTAAAATGTGTCAATAGTCACTCGCTCAAAAAAATAAAAAATCTTCAGCCATAAACTATTTAGTTGTTTTGACTCACTGGGGCAATGGCAGCTGCTGTCTCCACTGGATAATAACAGAGACTGGGAAACCAATCTCTGCCAGTTGATTACAATGTAAACAAAATGTGCTGCATAGTTCACCAAGTTCGTAGTTTAATGCAACCAAAGATTATGGTTACAAGGGAACACAGATCTGGAAAATAGATTGAAAGCTATTCACCCCCTGACATTAAATGAACTGTAAAGAAGATTCAAATGCTTACTATTACTGCATCTATCAGTTTGGTCATTTAAAGAAGTTCAGTTCCTTGAACTTAAAACAATGTTTTGGATTACTGACTACCTGACAGAGAGACTGCAGTGCCTGGGACTGGATGGACCTCTGTCTGATTAGGTGATGTGCAGCACTGGAGCATCACAGAGGACTGTGCGGTCTCCATTGAGTTGTACAGATTTTCAGTCCAACTTCAGGTCATAGCACCTATAGAAATGCTGATTATTCTGCACTGCTTTGACAGGAGAAGCACTACAGAGCTGTCTCGTCAGAGCAATCTGAATATGCTTTATTTTGAAAGTCTGATCCCTACACTAAACCCCAAAATAGATTCCTTTTGAAATTTATTATATTGGATCTGCTGGAGCTCTGATTTTCCTCCCTACTGTGATCTAATGCCCTCCTGATGATAGAACGCAATCCGGGACATTAAGCTGAAAACCCCAGTCAGGAGAGCCAGCATAAACTATTTGCCAATGTTAATGTTTGAAGATGAGAACTACAAACAAATTGCATCCAGCATCTGTTAAAACAGCAAGGATTCATAGTGAAAGAGTCTGGGTGCTGAAGTGGCCTGGCTGCATTCCAAACCTTCCACTAGCTGAAAACATTTGGCGCAACATGAAATCAAAAATACAACAATGAACACCCTGGACTGCTGAACTGCTCAAATCCCCTATCAAACATCAATGGTAAACCATTCCTCACCCAAAAGTCCATCAATGGGTCTCCTCAATTCCCAGATGGTTATGGGCTGTGGTTAAGAGAACAAAGGATGCTACGCAGTGGTTATAAGATGTTTTGGTGCCATCAAATTCAAAATAAAACTTTCCCCCCCTTAAAATGTTACAATGTCTTAATTGAAACATTCGATTATGTTCCATTATGAATAAATTGTGTCCCAACTTTTTTGGGGTTGTTAAGTAGACTAAAATATTAAAAGTCTATGCAACCCCATTACATAGTAATACATACTTTAAGTATAATTCCATACAGTTTTATTATATTTTTTTATTGAGACAAACACACAAATATGGCTTCCTGCTTAAACATAAGGATTGTTTTAAGTTAGTGTGGCAGCAGATACGAGAGCGTCAATATCCTGAATTGCTTTGGATGTCCTTTGAAGAGCTTCAGCAACATAGTTGTCATTTAATGGTTCACAAGTGACGTCTGCAGGTCTTTCCTCCTCATCTGCATGTGCTTTTCCACTTCTCAGCACGTGACTGTTCTCCAGCAGAACTGGGCAAAGGATGTTAAAGAGCACACAGAGAAGCCCTCAATACAGACATCAATGTTCATGTCAGCATCCCGTTGTATCTTGATCTTAGCACTGAAGGATACAGGTGAATCGCTTTATCTTCTCAAGCTCTGCAGCAACGAGCTCTGATCTAAAATGAACAGGAGGTCAAATGAACAGTACACACAAGCTGTTAACACCTTTAATTTTACAACAAAATATCAACAGAGTGACCAGAAAAACACAACTTACAAACTGCCTGCTTCCTCTGTCACACTCATGCGTTGCTCAGCAGGCACAGGAATGGACACCATTTCTTCAAACGCTGCTGGTTTACAAAAATATCCATCCTGCAAACAGAAAGAGATTCAGTAACTGGCAGTGCACAAGCTTAAATGGTGTAAGTGTAGGTATCCACAGGTGTAACAGGAGGTACTACTACTTCAAGCTCTTGCAAGCAGCTGGGTAAGGCTGGACACTTCAGTGACTTCAAGGCCTGGTTGTAGCAAGCCAGGATCCTGTAAAACAGTTATGCGATGGGTGAAGACCGGAAAAAATTAAAAGTCCTTTAACTCACCAGACTGCGATGAAGAGGGGGCAGCTTACCTGCTTGCACGACTCACAATAGAGCAAACAGAGTAGGCCTGTCCAAGCACATCAGGTGGAAGGTTGTTTAAATGGTAGGCTACCTCTTTGACCTGTGGTAAAGATGGGCTAAATTTGTAAGATGTTTTTTAAATGTATTGGTTAATCTCTTATTATAAAATTTAAAGTTTACCCGCCCTGACTGGAGTTCAGTTTTGTGATGCGTAAAATAAGAGTTAAGGTTGCGGTTAGAGCGGATGACTGATCCATCCCCTGGGGAAACCTCAACAGCTGAGACAGATCCACTCAGTATCCTACACAGCAGACATGAAGGTAAACACACTATTCTGGTGTAGATTTATGGACCATCTCCCACACTCTATACTGTACAACAATGATTTTTTTATCATGAGTATGAAAATTGAAGATATCAGAGAACCTTTGGTGTTAGACTGAATCAACAGGAAGGATGCTTCTGCTCTGATTTATTGTTTTGCTTTCAGGCAACTGATGAGGCACAGAAGACTTGAAAAATGACAGCTATAAGTTGTCAGGACTATTTTTAATAAATAAATACATTCAAGCACTTTTCTGGTATTTTCAAAGTGAATCTTCAAGCCTTTAATAATAATAATAATAATAATAATAATAATAATAATAATGGATTGCATTTATATAGCGCTTTTTGGGGACCCTCAAAGCGCTGTACAATTCCACTATTCATTCACTCTCACATTCATACACTGGTGAAGGCAGCTACAGTTGTAGCCACACTGTTAGTTAAGTCTTCTTAACTTGCAGTGCGTTTGACCTTTCAGGGCCACCGTAATTTATGCCCTGAAGACCTGCACAGTTACCTGTAAGTGACTCCCTGACACCACACTGCCTTTACCATCTCAGTCGGAAGGTCTGTGTGTTCTTCTTTGGCCAGGGGATCTTTAACCTTCCACCTTAAATACACAAGTACGGAAGCTTAAATCAGCCACTGAACAATATTGAAATGGTTTACAAAATGCTTGTTTTTAAATCTACAAACCTGTGCCGATGAGGCGTTGGACACGTGAGAGGCAGCGCCTGAGGAACACGGGACCTTCTGTCTTCACAGGATATGTCCAATTTGTTTATTGTCTTGTCTGATTGGTTTGAACTGCTAGCTCCTCTATCCGCTACATCTTTAGCTTTAGAGAAACGAGCTGCCCAGTGATGGCGAGCCACGGAAAGAGGGTAGGCCCATTTGGGAGCAACTGCACAGCATGAATGATGCTGGACCACTGTGGTGGACTGGTACACCTGTTCAG